CCTGCCACGGGCACCTCTCCGGGGTGGGCTCTCCCCTGTGCCTGCCTTTGTTATATTTTTTCCTTAAACGCAGAAATTCAGGCCTCCACGAGGCAGTATGTCCTGCTGGAGGGGTCCCCAGCCCCCCATCCCTGCTGCTGTGGCCCTTGGGGGGATCTCTTCCCCCCTCGGCTCACGACATGCACGTCCCAAACCGGTTTCGAAGAGGAGGGAGGAAAGCCGGGAGTGTCGAGACTTCCTGGCGATGGAAAAAAACTTGAAAATTATTCCCTGAGGCCTGAAAACCCGGAACCGAGCTGGGGGTGGGGGGCATAACTGTGACTCGTGACGCTGGCTCAGGACATGGGGACACAAGCTCCTCTGCAGCCCCAGCCCCACACCCCCGTGCTCCCTAGTTGGGGGTCCCTGGTGGGGCGGGCACGGGGGGTCCTGCAGATGGGGAGAGTTGCCCAGCTCTGGTGTGAGCCCCGGCATTGCCAGGACGGCACTCCGGGAGCCTCATTAAATGGCGCTTCCCCTCCCTGCTTTAATTGCCCTCCTTGCCCACAGCTCGGGGGGGGAGCGGTGGGCTGCTGGGGGGAGTTATCTCGGTCCCTCCGGTGGACCCCCGGCACGCACCGCTCCCGTGCCGAGGGCTCTCTGCTGCATTCCTGGCATTGCCGAGGGGCCGCCTCCCTCCCCGCCAGCCCTTTGAAAGCCAAGGGGTTGGGATTTTCCCGTAATCTGGTTTGAAACATTAATCCGGTCATCCACACCAAACGCCGGGCCGGCATCCTGCCGGGGCGCTGGGCCGCGGGGTCAGTGCCGCCCGCCCGCCGCCTCCCTAATTCCTCCTCCACTTAATTATATATCTGCTGGCAACGGCCATCTGGCACCTCGTCCTCAGCCGGCCGCAAGGACGGGGGGCCGGGGCCGGTGGGGTGGGTCAGGCACCGCGGCGCAGAGCCGGCCGTGCCGGGGGTGCTGGGGCAGGCGGCAGTGCCGGGCATTGCCCTGTGCTGGGCGAGCGGCGGGTGCACGGGGGGCTCCCGGGGTGTCCCCTGTCCCCCTGCCCCGGCCGGGGTCGGCTGTGCTGTGGCAGCCCTTGGCACCGTGCTCTGGCCATGGGGACCCGTCGGTGGGGCGGCGTGGCCGGGTGGGCTCCCCAGGGTAAGAGGATATTCTCGGGGCAGCTGCGTTGCAGATTAAGTCGTTTCCACCTCCCTGCGGCCTCCCTAATTACGAAATGTAAATCTATTGAGTCAGCGGCGGCAAGGCGGCCTCTCCCTGCGGCGCGCTGTCCGCCGGCCGGCGTTACCTTTGCACCGAGCCTCGCCGCCTCCGCCCGCGCTTCCCCGGCCAGGAACCGTGCGCCGTGCCGGGCAGGAGCCGTGCCGGAGCGGGGCAGGGCATCGGCACCGGCCGGGGATCGGCACCTGCCGATTTCGGTGCGGTGGTCCCAGTGGCTGTGCGTTCGGTTTCGCACGCTACTGAAACGAGAACATGTTTCTGTTCCTCAATTTTTATTTAGAGACCCAATATCTAAAGTTTCCTATGAAGGCCGCACTGCATTTTGGGGTTTGGGGGTGCACGGCTCCTCTGCCACGTCCTCGCCAGCGAGGTGTCCCGGCACACGCGGGATGCCGTCAATGCAAGGAAATCCTGCCAGGGGCTGCTGGAAGTCACTTGTCCCTGTCCCTTCCCACGTCTCTGCCTGTGCCCGGGGGGTGAGGAGGGACGGGGGCAGCCACGGTGCAGGCAGGGCACATCCCAGCCACGGTGGGGCATGTCCTGGCCTCATGGCATCGCTGGCCCCGCTCTCCGGCAACCTGCCCTCGCAGCGGGGTGGTCCAGGGGGGCTCTGGGGTTGCAGTGGGGAAAAGCGCCTGCCACAGGGGACCCCTGGCCCGGCCGAGCCCCTCTCCCCGCTTCGGGGCGGCGGTGGCCGGCGGGCAGCAGCCGAGCTGTCGAAACCTCGCCGGTAACCACAAGCGGCATCTTGTGAAATATCCTTTGCCCATCAGCGCGGCTGGGTGTGCCGGCAGGGCCTGGAGGGCGCCGGGGGCGCACGGGACTCCCTCCGCTCCCCGGCCCCGCTGACCCCCCGTGGCTTCCTCTGGCTGGGGGGAGAGTGGCCGTGGCCAGTGGAGTTTGGCCTGGGACCAGCGGGGCTGGCGGGCGCGAGGAAGGACGGCGCACGGGGCAGCCGCTCGCCCACGGCCACTAATCCCCGGGCCCGGCCGGCGCACGCTTTCCTCAGCTGACGGTTAATTTTCTTTCATCCTCTTAAATGTGTCCGTTCCCCTCGGGAATGAGCCCGGGGGGGCCCCATGGCCAGGGGGTGGGGGTCACGGTGGTAAATGAACGGGTGCCTTGGCCCCTTCCCAAAGGCGGCCGCCGCTCCCGCTGCAGCCGGGGGAGAGCGGCTTTATTTAAGAGCTGGCTTTATAAAAATTGAATGAACCGATGTTTTCATAAACGGCGGATCAATTGTTAGAGCTCTGGGGGTTAACAGGCTGCTCGTGACCCCCCTGGCGCTGCGATGGCTCTGCGTTCGGTGCCGGCCGGTCATGCCTGTGCCCTGCCACGATTTGGGACCCTGGGGACAGTGCGGGTGCCAAGGCCGACACCACCGTGGCTCCCCCCAGGGACGGGTGAGACCCTGCCAGCGCCAGGGCACGGCCCCTTGCTGCCAGCACTTGTGGTTTGTCACATTTCCCTTCCTCCCGAGGAGGAGGGTGATGGTTTTCCAGCCCCCCCGCCCTGTGCCATGGCACTTCTCTCTCCTCCAATTTGTATTTTTACCACCGGCTGCTCCTCTGCCTGATGCACAGACCTGCCGCGGTGCCACCCTGTGGTGCTGGGGGTCCCCATGGAGCTGGGGGTCCCCACAGTGCTACAGGTCCCCATGGTGCTGGGGGTCCCCACAGTGCTAGGGGTCCCCAAGATGCTTGGAGTCAGCATCTCTGCCGCAGTACCGGTGCTGCACCCCGTATCCCGGCTGTACGGGCAGGGCCGTCACCCCATTACCGGGGTTACTGGGGCTCAGGGTGAACCGTGGGGGCGGTGGATGGTGGAGCCGCTGGCGGGGGGCTCAGGGCCCTGCAGGATCGTGCCGCGGTGCCGGGGAAGCCCAGTCTCCACGTGCGGCTTTTCCGAGCCGCGGGAGGAAACGGGGGAGGCTGGATTGGCACCAGCCCAATGTCCCTCGCCCGCTCAGGAGCAGCTCATGTGGCTCAGCCCCAAAAACCACGGCGGTGCCCGCTGTGCTGCATCCAAGCCCTGCCCTGATGGGGGGCACCGCTCTGCTCCCCCGGCACCGTGGTCCCTCCAGGCTCCCCCTGTGCACTGGAGCCCTCTCCGGGGCGCTGGGCTGGGAGAGGGGCTTCGAGGGGTCTGGCCGGTGGTGACGGTGGCTCCTGCTCCTTCCCCGGGGGGTTTGCGGGGGCCGGGCAAGGTTTCCAGGGGAACTGGGGGTTTATGGCCTTCCTGCAGGGCCCTGCCCCTCTTATCGGCCCCATTGATCCTTTTGATCGGTGCCGGCGGGCGAGGAGTTCAGTCCCACGGGATCCGGATCCTCCCGGGGGGAGGAGGGGGCTCACAGCCGGGGTGACGGCAGCCCCCCGTTCCCGGTGCCATGCCGGGCATACCCGCGGGATGCGGGGCGTAGCGGTGACCCGGTTAACGTGCCGGTTGGCGGCCCCGCCGTCGTGCCTCCCAAGTGACGTGGTCGTATTTATAGCCCCTTCCCGGCCACCACGGCCCCACTGGCAGTTGTTCAGAGTTGTCATTGAGAAAAGCGGGTGCCGCTCGGCACCGAGGGGACGGGGATGGGACAAGGGCTGCAGCGTCCATCCCCGCGGCATCCAGGCAGCGCCTGCCCCCACAGCCCCTGCTCCGACACCCTTCCTGGGGGGGTGGGATTATCCACCAGCCTCCGGGCAGAAACTGCACTGGGCCGGGGCTGCCGGTGGCGGGAGAGGCAGAGCCGGCGTGGCGTGCCTGCCTGCGTGCCGGGGCGCTCCGGCCAGCAGATCCTGCTGCCATAAATCAGGCAGGAATGTGCCGGGCTGTCGGGCGCGGGGTGGGGTCCCAACAAAAGCTGCCCCGGCAGAACCGGGTGCTGGAGGAGCAGCCGTGCCAGAAGCCTGGCCCCGGCTTGGAAAGCCATGTGCCGGCTGCGTAGCGTGGCACGGTTCGACCTGCTGGGTTTGCTCTGGCAGCCGTGCCTCGGGCACCGCGGCAGCCTGGGGGGGAGATGCTCTCTCCGACGGCCGATGGGCATGGAGCCTCGCCGGGGCAGCCCGTGTTCGGTGCCGGTCTCACCAGGCAGTGGGGAGCAGGCTCTGCCGGGCAGCACAGCAGCCGGTGGCCAGGAGGGTGCCCTGCGACCGGGTCCAACTCAGCACCCTTCTCACCATGTCACAGCCCAGGTGTGCCAGGGACCCCCTCTGAGCACACCGTGGCAGGTACGAGCTCACACCGTGGCAAATGAGCTTGTGCTGTGGCACAGGAGCTCACATCATGGCACAGGAGCTGGCCCCGTGGCACAGGAGCTCGCCCGCCCCCGGTGCTGTCTCCCTCCGGCGCTGCAGGTGTGGGGATGGATCACACCAAAGCCTTGTTCTGCTCAGCACGTGGTGGATGCTAAAAATAACCGGGATCAGCGTTCCCGGGAGGAGCCGGGGGCCGGTCGCGGCGCTGGCAGCGTGGGAGCCTCTCTGGCCCGCGGGCCGGGTGTGGGGCAGTGCTGCCATCGCGGCACCGGCACCTCGGGAGCCAGGAGGGGATGGCACCGCCGCACCGGGGACCCACAGGTCGGCCCCTAGCCACGGGGACCCCCAGGATCCCCTGGCCCTTGCAGGAACCCCCCTGAGCCGAAGGGCGAGCTGGTGGGCTCAGGACGGTGGGCACAAGCCCTAGGGATGCTGCTTCAGGGGGGTCAGGGCTCCCCAGGCGTGGGGGGCGATGTGGGGGGGCACAGGTATGGGGTTTTTCTGAGTGTTCCTCTCCTCGCACAGCTGTACGAGCTGGACGGTGACCCCAGGAGGAAGGAGTTCCTGGACGACCTCTTCAGCTTCATGCAGAAGCGAGGTGAGCCCCCCCGTGTGCCCACCCTGCTTCCCCTTCCCCCCCTCCCCGCCCCACGCCCTCCTGGGGGTCTAGGGGCTCATTTCCTCGCCCCTCGTTATAGCCCCGAGGTCACCGCTCCGGCCGGGCTCATGGTTAATTTTTAACCTCTTTGCGCAGCGGGGTCAAACCTGCTGGGCTGGATCCGGCGCCTGCGGCCCCCCCTCGCCCGGCCCATGGTGGCCACGACCCACAGCCCCTTCCCTGCGGGCTCCGGCCCCTCCTGGCCGTGTCCCCCCGGGTTATTGCAGAGGGTGAAGCCCCCCCTGCCCTCCCGCTCTGCCCGGGCTGGCAGGGGGTGTGTGCTGGGGGGGGTGGTAAGGGCTGAAATGGCAACGTTTGCCCGGTGGAGGGTCCGGTTCCTGCGTGGAAAACAGGGCTGGAAACGCTGACGCATGGCTGCCCGCAGGCTTTTGTCAGGCGGGCGCTGGGGGAAGCACGTGTGTGAGCGCGGGGGGGGCCGGCACTGCCGACGGGTGTCCCCCCCGGAGCCCACCGGTGCCGGGAGGGCAGAGACCCCCGGGAGGGAGAGGAGGCTGCAGCCCCGTCTCCATCACGAAAGGGGTGACCCCCCCGCACATGCAGCCCCCGGCTCAGCAGGACCCTCGTGGCCAGGAAGCGCCGCCGCCGCCGTTATAAATAACTCCTGTTGCCGGGTGCTGCCGGCCCCGGCCTGAGAAACCGCGCTCAGCCCCGTTTTGGGGACTGTGGCCGAAAACTGCGAGTTTCTGTTT